GAGGTTAGGCTGACGCCAGGCACTGTGGCCAGGGCAACAGAGGGAGACACTGTCTCAGAAAAAAGATGTGAAGTCAAGGAATAGTGGCCAGTTTGCAAGAAGAAATAAAAGGGAATAGAGGCCAGGCGTGGTGGCTCACACCTGTAATCCTAGCACTCTGGGAGGCCGAGGCAGGTAGATTGCTTGAGGTCAGGAGTTCGAAACCAGCCTGAGTAAGACAGAGTGAGACTCTGTCTCTACTAAAAATAGAAAGAAATTAATGGCACAATATATATATAGAAAAAATTAGCTGGGCATGGTGGCGCATGCCTGTAGTCCCAGCTACTCGGGAGGCTGAGGCAGCAGGATTGCTTGAGCCCAGGAGTTTGAGGTTGCTGTGAGCTAGGCTGATGCCATGGCACTCACTCTATCCTGGGCAACAAAGCAAGACTCTGTCTCAAAAAAAAAAAGGGAATAGAGAGTAGAAATGTGAGGTCCTATAGGGTTCAAAAAGCCAAACTTCATCTGAATTCCCAGTGTGTGATGGGACTATCCAAACCTCACATGTAATAAAGTGGCTAAGGGCAAAAATCAGATTAAAGGTGTGGCATTGCTGATGGCTCCTGATAACCTCAAAATGACCACAGAATCAAGACTGTGTCTAGGAAACAACCCTAGGTACATAGAACTAACTGGTTGGTGGCAAATAGATGAGAAGTCAGCTAAGCTTTTGAGAGAAGCTTATTGCCGAAGACATTGTAAGCAAGAACTAAATGAGCCATCAGTTGTAAACAATATTTAAGCCTCTGACCTTCCAAGAGAAGGCCCCAGTTTTGAAGGCTGCTAGGACCAGAAAACCCTTCCAGAAGATAAACAACAGGCCAGGGAGATCCCCTTAGAAAGAAGGATCTGGGACTAATCAACATCTGCCAGCAGGATTCTGGGATTACTGCAGAACAGTGACTGCAGTGTGTCTCCCATTCTTCCTGTTTCCAAATGAGAATGTTTATGGTTGTTATCCTCTTCCTGCTCCATCATTGTTATGGGGTGCAGAGATCAAGGGCAGATAACCTGGTTTAAGTTCATAGGTCACTTAACCAAGCAGAGCCACACCTAGACTTCAAAGAACCAAGCATCACCTAGATACCCTGGACTTTGAGCCTCACACAGTGATATTTTAGTCCTGAGGAAAGGGTTTGCCACAGGTCAGGTGTTCTGGAAGCAGATGGGGAGACAGGTGTTCGGTGTTCAAAGTATTATTAGGGATCAACACCTGTGGAAGGTAAGGGACGGGAGAAGTAGAACTGCCTTGCAAGCCTAACAAAGCCTCAGTTGACCCCATCATAGTTGTTATACATTAGCCTAAAATGGCTGGACCTCTATAACTCCACCTCAATCAATGATTGGATGTGGGCTGCCCCAGGAGGTATGAAGCACCTTTCTGCAGCTGATGCCAACTCAAAAAGAGCTAACAGCTAGAGGCTGTCTGCTGACAACATTTTCAGCAGCTAGGGAAACAAGGCCTTTCTCAGGGGGAAATTGAGTAGCTGTCTTCCATGTATAAAAGGAAAAGTGAAACAGATAATTGGGTGATCAGAAAGATAGACTGTGATAGAGACTGGTTATATGTTCCTCTATCCAAGCATAGAATAAGATTACATTTCCCAACCTTCTTTGAAGTTAGGCTAGGACCATGGAACTGAGATTTGGTCAATAAAATATGAGCAAAAGTAATCTATGACACTTCCAAGCCTAGCCATAAAATGTCCTGCACAATTGTCCATGCTGTCTCTCTCTCTCTCACATACGCATGGCTTAAAGTGATGGAACAACATGGTGGAAGGAATGGAGATCCCTGAATCATCTCATTGAGGAGAATTTGACCTACATCAGAATGAGGCAGGAGTGAGGGATAAACTTTTATTGTGTTAAGTTACTAAGGTCTCAGGATTGTTCTTTGTAACCAACTCCTGGTCTAAGGATGCCAGGAGTCAAATCAAAACATGTCTGATTCTACACCTTTTAAGTCATTGTTACTCAAACTCTGGCCAGCAGGCCAGCTGCATCAGAAGTATTGGTTAAACATACACATTCAGAGGGACTTCTGTGAAGATAAAGCACATAATATGCCAAGAGAAATTAATTCCTTCTTTTAAGTAGATGGCTTAACCTGAGGAGAGAAACCAATATGCCTTGCTGGGAACAAGCATCCTAACTAGTGAAAGAAACATCTCTGGACCCAATTGGGCACCAAATAGAAGCCTAAGAGATAGATTTGAATGAATAAACATACAGGCAAGCCATATTTTCAAGAAGCAGTCTGTTGGCGAAGCAAGAAGGTAAAGCATGAAATTTCATTGTGCCCAGACCTGTAGCTGCTGCTTTCAATTGGCTGAAAAGAAGTAAAGGCTTAAGAACTCACTAATAATACATACATCTCAGTATCACGAAAAGAATTTATTAGCCTCAAATATAGCACTGGTCCCTCCCCATGCAAATTTCCTGTAAATAACTGGTCCAGTAAGAGTTGATTACATTCAACAGGAACCAGCACCAGATTTATACAAACTTACTATATGGAAAAGATAAGAAATGTGTAAGCAAAAAATGGCAGATCAGAAATAGTCACCAGAAAAAAAAAGTCTCAGAACAGATAAAAATTGTGCACTAATGTATCGTCTTAAATTAAAAAACTTGATATAAAATCATATCCTTCATTGGAAGGACATGGAAAAAAATCACATTTCTACTTGATGACTTGGGATATAGAAAAAAATCACGTCTATAAAATAATAGTTTTAAGCAGAAATATTAACATAAGAGGGCAGGTATGAAACAGCAAAGCCAAAGAAGAAAATGAAAATTAGACAGAAAAATCTAAGAAAAATATGAAATACAAAAAGTAAACTATTACAGAAATGAAAAGCACAAAGGAAAAGACACATCAATGAAGAAATATGAAAGAAAATATGGAAAACAAATTTAAAAAGCAAGCATTATTAAATAAAGAGTTTAGTGGCCGGGCACGGTGGCTCACACCTGGAATCCTAGCACTCTAGGAGGCTGAGGCGGGTGGATCGCTCAAGGTCAGGAGTTCAAAACCAGCCTGAGCAAGAGCAAGACCCCTGTATCTACTAAAATAGAAAGAAAGTAATTGGCCAACTAAAAATATATACAGAAAAAATTAGCCGGGCATGGTGGCGCATGCCTATAGTCCCAGCTACTCGGAAGGCTGAGGCAGTAGGATTGTTTGAGCCCAAGAGTCTGAGGTTGCTGTGAGCTAGGCTGACACCACAGCACTCTAGCCCTGGCAACAGAGTGAGACTCTGTCTCAAAAAAAAAAAAAAGAGTTTAGTGGAAGTAAGATTGATTAGAGAAAAAATGATAGATGCAGGAGGCACATAATGGTTTCTTTGATGAAGAGAACCAAGATAATCCAAGAAAGTTATAATTTTTTAAATGCTGCAGAAATAAGGAAGATTTGAGTCTATAGTCATAAAGGGCACATCAAGTCCCAGGAAAAATTGTCAGTTGGTGCTGGGCACATAGTAATACTTATTGATTTTTTTTTTTTTTTTTGAGACAGAGTCTCACTCTGTTGCCCAGCCTAGAGTGCCGTGGCATCGACCTAGCTCACAGCAACCTCCGACTCCTGGGTTCAAGCGATCCTCCTGCCTCAGCCTCCCGAGTAGAGTAGCTGGGACTACAGGCACGCGCCACCATGTCCGGCTAATTTTTTCTATATATTTTTAGTTGGCCAATTAATTTCTTTCTATTTTTAGTAGAGACGGGGTCTCACTGTTGCTCAGGCTGGTGATTTTTAATTAATACATTTCACAGTGAGGACTGCAAATGGCCTCTCTCTGCCTCCTTTTTTATCCTGTATACTCACCTATATGCCACTAGCTACCTGCTCATTGCCTGAGAAAATGAACATGGAAGCCTGGTTGATCTCCCATCTTTCTGGAAACAGAGGTGACAGTCAGGAGGACCTACTGGCACTTACAAGATATATGTACTAGGAATGTTTAGCATGGTTTAAAATAGAGAAAAAATGGGAACAACTTAAATGTCCGTCAATCTGGGGCTGAGTGCTAGATAGTTACCAAAACCTTGATGTAGAAAAATAATATTGTGGAAACATATTAATGAAATACTATTCCCTGGAAAAAGCAGATTATAACAGAAAATATATAGTTTAATCCAATTTTTTATACAGGGAAAAAGACTCTAAAGTCCTAAGCAAAGTATTAGACATTGGTTATATCCTTGTGCTAGAGAATGGGTTGTTTTGATTATTGTCATTGTCATTGTTGTTTTATATTTTCATTTTTATTCTTGTCTGCACTTTCCAATCTTTCTGCAATGAACTGTATTATTTGATTAGTACATTTTTAAAAAGATACTTACAAACAAAAGAAGAAAAACTATCTGACCATATTTCTACCACTACCTCCAATCCCAACTATACTAGAAATATATTCTTACTCTTCTTTTTTTTTTTTTTTTTCGAGACAGGGTCTCACTGTGTTGCCCAGGCTAGAGTGCCATGGCATCAGCTTAGCTCACAGCAACCTCAAACTCCTGGGCTCAAGCAATCCTTCTGCCTCAGCCTCATGAGTAGCTGGGACTACAGGCATGCGCCACCATGCCCGGCTAATTTTTTCTATTTTTGGTAGAGACGGGGTCTTACTCTTGCTCAGGCTGGTCTCGAACTCCTGACCTTGAGCAATCCACCCGCCTCGGCCTCCCAGAGTGCTAGGATTACAGGTGTAAGCCACCGCACCCGGCCCATTCTTACTCTTCTTAAGTCATCAAAACATTTTGTCTGTATGAAATCATTTGGTTCATATTAAGAAAAAAGCTGTCTAAAACCCAATCTGGGAAAAAGTGGTATAAGGAGAGTGTATAAAAACTTAAACTTAGCTCGGCACTCATCATTTTATCTTCCTTTCCCAGCATTCTTGTAGGTGAACCAGTCCAGTGAAGAATTAGAAGATTCAACGGTACAAGTGTGGTATCTGGCTTGCTGAATTTCAAGAGAGTGCAGAGTGTGCTATGTGCTCAAAATAAGGAAGTTATCTATTGGTTAAAATTAAATTGTCTTCCATCTTAAATTATATTTGCCTTCGTTTTCTCCTTCAAAAGATACAATTGAAAAATGTGAATAACCTTATTTCTGTTCTGATTATAAAGTAATACACATTTATTGCAAAATATTTTCAGGAAATAGGCCAAGTGCAGTGGCTCACACCTATACTCCTAGCACTCTGGGAGGCCGAGGCAGGAGGATCACTTGGGGTCAGGAGTTCAAGACCAGCCTAAGCAAGAGCGAGACCTCGTCTCTACTAAAAATAGAAATAATTAGCCGGTAACTACTGAAAATAGAAAAAATTAGCCAAGCATGGTGGCACATACCTGTAGTCCCAACTACTCAGGAGGCTGAGACAGGAGGATCCCTTGAGCCCAGGAGTCTGAGGTTGTTGTAAGCTAAGCTGACACCATGACACTCTGGCCCAGGCAACAGAGCAAGACTCTGTCTCAAAAAAAATAAATAGGCCGGGTGTGGTGGCTCACGCCTGTATTCCTAGCACTCTGGGTGGCCGAGGCGGGTGGATTGCTCAATGTCAGGAGTTCGAAACCAGCCTGAGCAAGAGCAAGACCCCGTCTCTACTATAAATAGAAACAAATTAATTGGCCAGCTAACATATATAGAAAAATTAGCCGGGCATGGTGGCACATGCCTGTAGTCCCAGCTACTCGGGAGGCTGAGGCAGGAGGATTGCTTGAGCCCAGGAGTTTGAGGTTGCTGTGAGCTAGGCTGACGCCATGGCACTCACTCTAGCCTGGGCAACAAAGCAAGACTCTGTCTCAAAAAAATAAATAAATAAATAAAATAAGAAATACAAATAAAAGAAAAAGTACTCATAATCCTAGCACCCCAAAATAAATATGGTATATATCTTTATGTATCTCCTTTCAAATCTTTTTCCATGTATATATTACCAGTTTCTGAAAGTCTGTTCTGTGAAACAATAGTTCTGTTTTAATAAATGTCATAAAACAGTAGGATCCTGGCTGGGTGTGGTGGCTCACACCTGTAATCCTAGCACTCCGGCAGGCCAAGGCAGGTGGATCGCTTAAGGTCAGGAGTTCAAGACCAGCCTGGGCAAGAGTGAGACCCCATCTCTACTAAAAATAGAAAGGAATTATATGGACAACTAAAAATGTATATATAGAAAAAATTAGCTGGTCATGGTGGTGCATGCCCGTAGTCTCAGCTATTCAGGAGGCTGAGGCAGGAGGATCGCTTGAGTCCGGGAGTTCGAGGTTGCTGTGAGCTAGGCTGACACCATGGCACTCTACCTCAGGCAACACAGTGAGACTCTATCTCAAAAAAAAAAAAAAACAGTAGGATTTTTGTGGTCAGTTATGTTTGGGAGATGCTGGATTAAACAAATTTTAACATGTTTATTTGCTCCAGGACTTGTAAGGCTATTAATAATATGAATCTCCACAAGGGAGTATAATATGCAGCATTTCCCAAACTAACTTAAACACTTTTTTTTTTATATAGTGGATATGACACAAGTGGTTTAACCACCTCCCCATATAATAATTATTTAAGGTGTTTCTATGTATTCACTATTATAAATGTAATACAGGTAATAGTATTACATTTATTAATTTGTTTTTCTCTTTTGCTGTTCTGAGTTTGAAATCATTCAACAGACACGTTGAATACCTTCTGTGAGCCAGACATTGTTCTGGGCAGGTAACAAAACAGACCCTAATCCCAGCTTTTGTGGAGCCACCATGCTAATGGGAAGATTCAGATCCTTGCAACAGCAACAAGGTGCTGAAACAAGAGCATTCCTGTTATGTTTGAGGGGTAGCAAAGAAACCAGAGTAAGCAAGGGACAGAGGTGAGATACAGCAGGCTGCCACATGGCCTGTTGTGTGGCCTGCTGTGGCAAGGCAAGGCGAAGTCAGTAAAGAGGAGGTATGTTGTACAAATCTTCTGTTTCCTTATTGATTTTCTGTCTGGATGATCTATCCATTGTTGAGAGTGGGTCTTAACATCCCCAAATATTATTGTATTGCTTGTCAATGTCTCCCTTAAATTATATTAATATTTGCTTTATATAGCTAAGTGCTCCAATATTGGGTACATATATATTTATAATTGTTATGTCTTCTTGATGGATTGACCCTTTTATCATTATATTAATATATAAAGACCTTCTTTGTCTCTTGTGACAGATTTTGACTGAAAGTCTATTTTTGTTATCTTCTAAAATTTTTTATTATTTATTTATTTATTTCATCCTGTTAATTGATGATTCAGAATGAAAGCCTACTTTGTCTAAGTATAGTCACCCTTGCTCTTTCTGGTTACCATTTGCATGGCATACAGTGAGAGTAAATATTAAGTGTTTTTACCACCAAAAAAAAAAAAAGTAACTATGAGGTGATGCATGCACTAACTAACTTGATTGTGGTAATTATCTCACAGTATACATTGTATATCAGTCATCATGTTGTATATGTTAAATATATACAATTTTATTTGTCAATTATACCTCAATAAAACTCGGGGGAGGAAGCTTAAGAAGACTGGGAGTGGTCAGCTAGGCCAGAGGCTTAAGGTACTACTGCCAATTGGGAGCTACTGAGAGCGTTGCTCAAATCAAAAGGTGATGGGCTGCATTAGAGACTAACAGGGAACAAGACCAGGGTGACAAGAGACATTCCTGTGACACCAGTAGGTGCCAGCTCACACTTGCAAACTGAAGTGAGGGGGCCAATTTCCCCCCATAGCATTGTATTAGCCACACATCCTTTGTCCCATACACCCAGATGTTAGGAAGAGATTGTCATCCTTATCAGAGATTACCTGCAGTGACTGTTTATCAGTTTACACTAAGCTTTAAATCAGATTGATATTTACTTAAGTTTTTTTCACTAACCAGCAGGTAGGAGCTTGGGAGGGAAGTCAGTACATTATAATAAAACAGAAGAAAAACTGTGAACATCTGAGTTTTGGTGTTAGTAGTATTTGGGACCCTGCTACTCAAACAGCATCCTTACACACAGCTTTATAGTTTTTATATTCATGTGCAAGTTGTTCCTTGATATCAATTGCTTAATGTGGAATTGTTGGGTTATAAGGTATGACTATATTAAGGTTTTTGATATTGTTCCACATAATGGTAGTACCAGTTTACACTCTGGGCTCACAGCCTTCCCTCCTCTGTCCTTAACAATGTGTTATTTCCTTGGTTTTCTTTATATTTTGCCAGTTATGTTTGGCAATATATTATTTAGTTTTGCCTGTGTTTTAGAAAATGATCTGTGCTCTTTCCTGCATAAGTTTACAGCTCAAAGTGAACAAATTCTTCCTCCCTTTCTGTCCATATTACCAGCCCCTTCTCACCCCCAAAGTAACCCCTGTCCTGTCTTCGAACACCATAACCTTGCATGTTTTTAAACTTTATAAAAACCAAGCCGTACGTATGTATTCTTCTGTGATTTTCTTCTTTTGCTTGCATTATGTTTTGAGATTCATTCATGTTGATGCTTATAGTGAAAATTGTGCATGTCCCATTGTATGAAGAAAGCTCTACTAATTTAGACTGTTAACTATTGAAGGGCATTTGTATTGTTTCTGTTTTTTTCTATTCTAAATAAATCTTTCATAAATATTCTTGTACGTGTATCATAGTGTGCATGTGCAAGTTTCTGTAAAGCACATACCCTGTGATTAAATAGCTGGATCAAAGGGTAAGCAAATGTTCTACTTTATGATACAATGCCAGCTTCCCAAAGCCAGCAGTTATGAATGTTCCCATTATCCCATTTCCTTGATAATATACAATATCATCAGCCTTTTAATTTTTGTTAATCTGTTAAATAAGAAATTATGTCCCATTGTTTTCTTAATTTATATTTCCCTGATAACTGATGAGATTGAAGGCCTTTCCCTGGGTTTATAGATCATGTATCTTTCTCTTCTATGAAATTCCTGTTAATGGATTTTGCCCATTTTTCTAATTAGTAGTTTTGCTTATTCCTTATTGATCAACAGAAATTCTTCATATATTTCATATGCTAATCTTTTTTAGGCTACATATGTGGAAAATACTTTCTCCCAGTTTGAAGATTGTATTTTCACTCTTCGTATGATGTATTTTGATGAATAGAAGTACTTATTTTAATGCAGTCAAATTTGGAAATCATTTCCTCTATGTTAGTATTTATAGTGTCTGTTTAAGAAATCTTTGTCTATCTCAAAGTCATAAAGTAATTATTCTATACTGTCTTCAAAAAATGTTTATAGTTTTACCTGTTATGTTTGAGTCCTTAAGCTATTTGGAATTTATTTTTTGTATGGTGTGAGGTAGAGTCCAATTTCTTTTTTTCTTCATATTGTGAGAAGTTATAATTTTCCACTCATGAACTTTGAACTGAACTTCTGTACCTAAAGGCAGTTCTGGGAACTGAGAGAGCAGATAGTTGCAATAAATTCCAAGAAGCAATAAATTCCGAGGAGCAAAACCAGATTCTCAACACTGACCACCTTAAACTGGAGCTGTAGACCATAAAAAGGCATGAGAATGTTGAAAAAAGACAAGCTGTGTGCCCACCCAGCCTGAGTCAGCCACCTTGCTTTCCCAGTACTTTTCCACTCTGAGCTTTGCCTTCATAAAAACTAACGAAATTTTGCTCAAAGAGTCATTCTTTCTACAGTTTTTCCTACTAAAGTAGTTTGGATGAAGCGCTTACCTTCACTTCTATCTAGTGTCAGTTTCTGTTTTGACAATATGAATACCCAACGTGCCCAGTACCACTTAGTGAAAGCCTGTCCTTTCCCTATTGATCTGCAGTGCCACTCTGTTATATTATCAAGTGTCTAAATATGCATAAATCTGTTTCTAGCCTCTCTTCTGTTTTATTGTTCTATTTTTGTGCCAATACCACACTCTCTTAATTACACAATATTACAGTCCCCCACTTTTGTCTTCTATAATTCTCTGGCTATTCTTGGTCTTTACAACTCCATGCATATTTTAAAATTAGATTGTTCAATTTC